AAAAAAGAGAATTTTTTTTTTCCAGAGCTAATGGTGTACTTACTTTAGTAGAGTCAAGTAAACCATGAATTAGTTTTCTTGTATGAGGGAATTCTGGATCACCAACTGGTAAATATCCGAGAGCAGTGCAAGCCTTCTCTTTCACCTGTGTAACAAATAAATTAAGTTAGCTGTTACTAATACTAAGGCCTGCGTAATGTAATATCTATATACCAAGTTTCATTGAAATGTGATTAGAACAAAATAACTATGAATTATTATTAGAGAATTAATATGAACAAATTTCAACCCAAAATTAATCGGGCCTGTCTATGTACCAAATTTTATTCAAATGTGATGATCAGTAATTGAGATATCAGTGTTAATTATTTTAATTAGGTGATTAATAAGCATAAATATTTACCAAAAACTAATTGGGTCACTGCTTAGTCCTAGGTTCATTGAAATATGATGATTACTACTTGAAATATCAAAAGCTGATAATTAATTAATTATGCAAATTAGGTAATTAATATGTACTGATATTACACTAAAAACTATCAGGTCTGTGCAGTGACCTATGACATCTATGTACCAAGTTTCATTGAAATGTGATGATTACTACTTCAAATATCAAAAGCTGAAAATTAATTAATTATGCAAATTAGGTAATTAATATGTACTGATATTACACTAAAAACTATCAGGTCTGTGCAGTGTCCTATGACATCTATGTACCAAATTTTATTGAAATGTAAGATTACTACTTGAAAATTAATTAGTTAAGCAAATTAGGTAATTAATATGTACTGATATTACCCTAAAACTATCAGGTTTGTGCAGTGACATATGACATCTATGTACCAAGTTTTATTGAAATGTGATGATTACTACTTGAAAATTAATTAGTTATGCAAATAAGGTAATTAATATGTACTGATATTACCCTAAAACTATCAGGTCTGTGCAGCGTTCTATATCTATGTACCAAGTTTTATTGAAATGTGATGATTAGTACTTGAGATATCAGTGGAAAAACCGAAAATTGACTAATCATTATGCAAATTAGGTAATTAGTATCCACGGATTATTACCAAAAACTAATCAAAACCTAGCATTAGTTCAGAGCATGTATGTACAAAGTTTCATCAAAATCCAATGAGTGGTTATTTAGATATCAGTGGAACAATCATGGAACAGCTAAAAATCAGCTAATTATCATGCAAATTAGGTAATTAATATGCACGGATTTTTACCAAAAACTAATCAAATCTGTGCATCGGCCCAGAGCATCTATGCATCAAGTTTCATAAAAAATCAATGTATGGTTCTTGAGATATCAGTGGAATACACACACAGACAGACAACCTAACTGCAAAGACTCCCTTTTTGTGCTTCGCACACGGGAGTCAATAAAACTGTTGATATAAATGTATCATTTCTTCTAGAAAACTTAATTACATCCATTGTCATCAATGTACCTGATGTGGTTCTTTAGAAGACTGAATTTTCTGAGATAGTGTATCTACCACTGATAACATACTAAGTTCCTTCACAGGGGATTCTTTCTTCTTGGCTCTTTTCTTCTGATTTCCTTCAGAGACATCATCATTTTCTTCTTCTCCTGGTGGTAATGACAACCTTCCATTTCTACCAATTTCGCCAATAGCCAAGCAGGCACCACCATTCAGCATAGCTTGTGAACTCTCAAACATTCCAGCTATACAACGAAACATAACATATGTCAACAAGTCATTGAAAATGACACAGTCCCCGTTAAATTTTTGAAAGTTCTCTTTGTGCTTGTCATATTAAAGCGGAAACCCGATTTCCAAGTGGCATATACAACAGATTGTTTATTTACATCAAAACACGTGTTCCGTGTACTAGTAATATGACCAAAAATAAAAACAGCCGTTATTCAGCCATCTTTGATCTGATTATGAAACACACTGATATGTATGATGTATGTGCCAAATACGAATGAAAATGGTACATAAATTGTGGAAATATAGTATTAAGGCCAAAAAGTCAGATGGCTGTCAATCGGCCATCCTTGACTATATTTTGAAACAAATTTTCATGGAAATGCATCCTAACATGTATAAAGTACATGTATGTGCCAAATTTGAATGAAAACTGTCAGAGCACGTCCAAGATACCACATAAAAAAACAAACAAGATGCCTGCCAGTCAACCATCTTTGATCCAAATGCGAAATAAATCGTCATGGACATGTATCCCAACATGTATAATCTATGTACCAAGTTTGAATGACAACTGACAAAGCATGTCCAAAATACAACATTTTCAAATCAAAGAAAGCTTAGAAAGAACTCCCATGTGCTGAGAGTATTGGAGACACATTAAATATAATTCGAAATTACTTAGCTGAAAACTAATTATGCAAATCAGAAAATTAATATGAACAGATTTGAGTGTAAAACTAATGAGGTCTGCGCAATGTAACAGAAAATCTATGTTTC